AAAACTAAATACCATTTTTTTAAAATCTTATTTGTTTAATACCAATTGCAATTTTTTACCTGCACCAGAATCCTTCAAAAACATTTTTCTAGAGGTGATTCCGAATCGAATGAGCTATCGCTCATATTTTCAGGACCTTTATCTCTATTTTTCATGTTTTTGAACTTGTTGATTAGGCTATATAAGGTCTGTTATTACCGACAATGGTTGAAGAGGTTGCGTACATTGTTAATTATGATCTCCTACCACGTAGTAACTGCTACATCCATCAATAATTTGATCGTCAATATGCAATATAATCAATATAACACGGCAAAATGTCAAAGCTTATGTAATACGAATGAAATATCTGAATCCCTGCTATTATTCTCAAACATGGATTAGTAATTTACTTATAATGTAAAAAGTACCTAAACAACGCACAGAGTTCAATAATCTGAATATTCAATACAAACATGAATTGATATGAATATATTCAATGATCTAAATATTCAATACAAACATAAATTCTCTTGGACAACAAATGATTATATCAGCTACATACTGATTTATAATTGAAACTGTGATTGAGTATATTAGACTATGAATAAACAGAAAACAGTAACACGTACATCATTTGGGTGGAATTTGAATTTATTAACATCATCAAGTAACATACACGGTTCTACCACTAGCTCATTTACAGTGACTTTCTATTTGCATCAGAGCCAAACGATGTAATAGATATTTTGAAGCAAATCATTTAAATGAACAATTTGTTCAGGCCAGTCTCAACTCCCTACACTGTAAGTTGATGGACTGACACCCATCAGAAAACAACTACTTCCCTGGCTAATATCACAAAGGGCATTGGATTATATCCGACAGGTGTCAGTGCAGTTCTTCACTGAAATCATTCCTGCATATGCTGTTGCCTAACAGCATAGCCAGGGGAGTAGTTGCTTTCTGATGGAGTGACAGTCCATTAACCTACAGTGTAGGGAGTTGAGACTGGCCTTAACGAATTCAGTTGAATGTTTTGATTTATAGCCAGTCTTCAAGTGTGCCCACTGACTATATGTGAAAAATAATTTGAAGCCGTTGATTTCCGAATAATTGATTTTGGATGATCGCATAAATATTATTGCAAAATACCTGTCAAGTGTAGTTTTCCTCTAAACTATGGCTCGAAATGGAAAAATAAGTACATTTAATTTATTCCTGGCATTATCTTAAACACAAGCAAAATCGAAGCCAATGACGAAAAGAATACTTTTCCTTTTGTACTGCTGATTAACAAGATATTATTGAACTTATAAATGATGGTAAGCAATCTCGAAAAACTCTCCAGTAGCGGCTCAAGTACACAAGCTACCATTGAGTTTGTCTCAACTATCATCCTCAACACAAAAATAAATACTCAAATCCGATTGGAGGTGTCTGTTTCTACAATTGAAAACAAAATACAGCATATCGTTATGAAACTGTTCATTTAACCAAAAATGAATTGGATATGTTTTCATGGTATCAAGGAGACCTTTGAACTCGCCGTAGTATTTCCAGAAGTACTGAATTCTCAGTACCTCCTGGATGAACAAAACTTTTTGAAGTATTTCGATTTGGTAAAACTGCTAACAACAAACAAATTTGAACTAAAGAGCCTTAGCAATTCTACATTATTCCAAGCTTCCTGTGAATGAATTCACCAATATTAGTGTGGAAGATGTAGGATATTACTGTCTATACGGAACTGACCTGAAGAAAAGCAGCTGGTGGAAATGTAAAAATGAAATTTCTTCAGACTCAACCCCGAGTTATTTCAACCTGTATGAAATGTATGGGTACTTCTTTCCAAAAAGCTCAATATGATTCTTGAAACTGCCATGGCTATGAAAATGCGCAAAACCTAGTGAATAATTATAATTTCACTATTCTTTGTTACTGCTATTACTTAAATCTCAAACTGGGTACAGCGCTATGGCCGTTGGTTAGCCGTATTATTGAAAATAATAGGAATCCTATCCTGAAAATTGGCAAATATATATTTTTTCAATATACTTCATCGAATGGAAATAATGGTATTTTTCCAAGATGCGGAAAATATTTAGTACCATAGGATGGAGCACCGCCTCATTATTTTGGGACAGTGGGCGTATTACTTGATCGATTATTTCGTGATGGGTGGATTGCCAATAATGGGTCGTACCTTAGCCAGCACGTTCCCCCGATTCATCTCCTATAGACTATTTTGTGTTTGAATATATAAAAAACATTGTGTATGTGGATACTGCAACAAGTAACGAGAATATGGTTAGGAAAGTTTAACGTATTCAACCTCTAGATGCCGATGGAATTGTTCGTGTTGTAAATAAAAATTCGATGGAAAAAGTTAGTAAATACCGGGAAGTTGACGGAAATGCATGAGAACATATTTTGAAATGGTTTTCATATTTATGTGAAAAGACTGCAGTATTTTTGAAATCTCGCTTTCATTTGAAACATTCAGAATAAACTTTTTAATTCATTATTTATTCATCTGAAATCCTGTTTTCAATAAAAACCATGATGACAAATTGATAGGTCTAATAAACTTTCTGCAACTGTTCGAAATGAAGGTTTCGTAGCCCGTAGTTTTATGGTGGTCATGATGAACGGTTGATTTTTGATATAGATAATATTTCACGAAAATGAGTCAAAATTATCTCGAAATATCAAAACTGTCGTGAAATACAGGATGTTGAATTTGGAAAAACTGAGTTTTGACCCAGTTTTGTATCTTCACCTTGCAAAACATTTTGGAAATGTTACCCTTACGGAACGATGGAATGAAGTATTTTGATACAAATAAAACAGAACACAGAGAGATGCTACAAAGGCAATACGCATATACAGGGTGTAACTAAATAAGTGTAAAACATTCAAGGAGGTGATTCCTCATTGAAAAAAAGATAGGATCTTTCATATAAAGAAATTTCATTGGAGCATCCCTTGTTAAGATACAGCCCTTTAAAGTGGGTACATAAAATTTGTATAACAATTTTTTTCACAAGCACTAAAGAAGTTACAATTTTGAAATTAATCTGACGTTTTGTAATACCAAAAAGACACTTAGCCAGAAATTTATTTGGTTTACCTCATGGTTGTAAGGTTTGGAAAACGCAACCCCTAAAATGTATTTCCAATGTAACTTTTTNCCCTTACAACCATGGGGTAAACCAAATAAATTACTGGCTAAGTGTCTTTTTGGTAGTACAAAACGTCAGGTTAATTTCAATATTGTAACTTTTTTAGTGCTTGTGAAAAAAAATTTTTATACAAATTGTATGTACCTACCCCCTTTAAGGGGCTGTATCTTAACAAGGGATGCTCCAATGAAGTTTCTTTATATGAAAGATCCTATCTTTTTTTCGATGAAGAATCACCTCCTCAAATGTTTCACTCTTATTCAGTTACACCCTGTATTCAGGTGTTCTGAAAACTAAAATTATACTCAAAAAAATTCCAGAATGTCGGGGTATTTTGCAAAACGAAAAATTGTATTATAAAAAAGGTGTTTTCTGGGCTAACTTGAAGTCATAAATGAATACGTACAATTTTATTTTTATCAGTGTTTTCAAAATTATATAGGACATAACCTGTTTCGAAAACACAGGTTGAGAACTTCCGAGGAAAAATCTGAGCCAAAAAGTATTCCAGAATATGTTGAAATGTAAATGTATACCAAATACGTCAGAGGTGATGCAACCTCTATATGAATTATTGAAAATGAATACTGAATAGAACTGTTCGCAGAATGCAAACATTGTGAACTTCCATAGGCGGAGTTTATTGGGAAAAAACTATTCTGCCCGTTTGTTGTTCTTTATGTTTGACGTTTCATCTACGACTGCGGTATACATTATCAAGTGCTATGAGGCAAAGGACGGAGTGTTCTTGTTGTTCTCAAAGCAGCTTCACCAAAATTGGTTTGGTTTCGATCCATTGGTGGTAGATGTGACGTCGTGTCTATTGGTTGACTTGAATAGCATGACGGGAGAGCAACTGAGTGCAGGTAATTTCATTGATGTTGAGTTCCTTTTTCTTCCAATTATGATCATTTCTGAGTTTCTCCTGCTTTCCTATGTACTCTTGAATAGTATATCTTAGTTGTATCGCGAACTTGGTTCTTTTTGAATCTGCTAATTCCTCAGTATGTTCTAATGTAAACATTTCTCTTTATCTCAGAGTGCCGAGTACTTACAATTTTCGGCAAACACAGGAGTTTTTTATAAACAACCGGATGGAATGGGCAATGGGTAGCAAATCAGGTCTGCTAGTGGCGAATTTTTCATGAACAAATTCGAAAAAAGTCCTTAGGTGCATTCCAGACAGAACATGAATGATGCGTTTTTAATATGGAACACTGTTTTCATTCCTTGTTTATGTCTGATAGACAAAATTCATGAAGATGTGTTTGTAAGGTCATGAGATTATGAATGGTGGCGTTTTACTGCTACAGGGGCCTGTTCTTGGACCACTATTGTTCTTGTTATATACCTAATAATGATTATAGGCGATGATAAAAGGCAAAGATCAATTGTTTCCAAACTCAACTAGAAACGATTATATTTCCACTTAACCTCAAAAATTCCACCGAGTGCCGATCACGGTGATAAATTGAATAATGAAAAATCAAAAAAATTCTAAGTTTTCTTTCAAATAATGGTTCATTATTGATTTTTTTTTTCTTATTTCAGGTACATGATTGACTTTTCTAGGATGCGAGGACAGGTGGGTATATTTTCATTTCGTGTATTAAATTTGTGTTCGTTACGGAATTAAATCAAACGTAGTAATATGACTGTCTGATGAAAGAATCGGATTCTCTAATAAAAATACATAATACTGATTCTAGTTTTTATTATCATAATCACAATTGAAAAAAAACTGAATAATAAGAAGTAACTCTCAGTTTTTGCTTGAGGAAGCTATTATATAGCGAAACACGTGTCGCGGTTTTTGTGACACCCTTTATAGTGAAAATCATGCAATAAACTGTATTAATTTGTTTTTCAATATTTATTTTCATCAAGTATCGGCCAGTTCTATTCAATTATTCACAATTGAGTTACTTTCATTCAATTGGTATCAGCTGAAATTTTCGATGATAAAATAGTGATTCCTATAGATGTTCTGATTACCACAAGTCGTCATCACCCACAAAAACATCAGTAGGTCTCCTCTCAAATAGCTTTTGCTTCCTGTACAGTTTCAGGCAAACTACGTCCAAGAGTTTCAGGTAATCTTGTTGCCAACAGGCCAGCTAGAATAGCAACAGATCCGAATATAATCATGGGGAGTTGATTGAAGAAGAGACCCTTAAAAAAAGAATACATTTGAAACATTTCACCAATGCAGCTGCAGCCGTTTGAAAAAATATTGGACGGGATTAATTTTGTCCACAATCGTGAAAAAAGTAAGTATATTTTAATTTGAAAAATAATAGTTATGACAATGATTCAGATTGAGACATCAATACGTCTTGGCACAATCATGTAGCTGGAATAGCAAAAAGGCTGCTTCACAAAAGCTCCGAACCAGAAAACTTTACAATCCCCAGCAACTTTCAACGCTTTATAAAGCTTAGATCAGACCTTCTTTGGAGTATTGTTCTCTTCTATGGAGCTCTGCCCTTGAGCATACCCTGAAGCTGCTGGATTCCATCCAGAAAATAGCCAGCCACCTGATTAGAGACACAAACATCACTTACAACCTTGACATTCTGGAACATCGAAAAAAATTAGAAGAATTGTCTCTCTTTTAAAGATACTTTCAAGGAAGGTGTTCAAGTGATTTGGCACATTTGATTCCACCAAGAGTGGTACATTTCAGAAATACGCGACGGATTGTGGCTGCTCATCGTTTTGAGGTTCAACTAATTACTCCTCAAACTCCACTGTTCAAGATCTCTCTCATTTGGAGAGCTGCGTTTGTGTGGAATGAACTTCCTGAGAAATTTTTTCCAAAAGAGTATAATCCCCAGCGATTCAAACCCAATGTGACCCGCTACTTTCGCACAGACACCGCTCTGCACCTGAAGTACTTGTGTTTTATCCTTGAAACCAAATGTTTCCGTAAAGTCAATACTCATGAAACAATAGAACGGTGCAGATTGTGATTTCTGAGGTATGCCAAAGTTGAATGATCTTATTGAGTTTTCAATTACTGTATTGCTCTATTGCCAGGGTGACCATCAAGGAAAATAGAAGAGCCTATGGTCGACCCAATCAAACGCTTAACAAAATTGTTGAAACCTGCTGATGTAGCTTTCTAGTTGTTGATATTATTATAAATTTTTTTTTGGACAAAAAGTCTTCGATAGTCTCATTAATGATGATGATTTTCATCATGTTTATATGAAAAACTTTTGACGGATCCACTTTTGGAATGAGAAACAAAGCGTAAACGAAAAACGAAAAGATTTTTACGACATAAAAAGGCTTATAGAACATATATTTGAATAAATTCACCAATCATTCAAACTTTCAATTGAGCAAAGTTCAAATATCTCTTCATGGGATATACTGACTGTTTTGTTGAAACCTACTCACCAATAATGGAGCAAAGGGCGCCAGAAGTGCCCCAACTCGGGCTACGGTTGAAGCAGAACCAACTCCTCCACTTCTTATGATTGTAGGAAACAACTCGGCAGTGTGTACATAAACTATCGAGAAAGCTGACGATATCCCGATCTTTCCTATGAGGAAAAAAGTAAGAACCGCCCAGTTGCTTGTGCTTCCATTGATGAAAATAGTTACAATGCAGGTTACACCAGAGAGTAACAAAGACCCCACTAGCGATATTCTTCTTCCTAAAGTTTGCATGATGATCCATGACAGGGTGACTCCTGGTATTTCTGCTAGAGCTACCAAAGAGAAATTGAGATATTTGTTTCCTCCTAGGCTGGTGGAGTTGATGGAGAGTCCATAATATACGAAAGAAATCACACCCCAAATGAAGTACACCATTAGAAATCTTATTATCAGTTTCCGGGATGTCATGAATCCTTTAATGACGCTCCACATTGTATCCTTTTCGGAATCTTCTGTTTCATTCTGGAAAGAACAACATGCTTGATTATTTGAGAAAGATGACACAAATCTTGGAAAACCCGAACCTCTGACACTCACGCCGCGAAATATCAGCAACAATCTACGTGATTATCGGTGAAGAAATATGTCTTACCAGTGAATCATCCTCTATAAACTTGATAGCTGCATCAGATAATGTGACTTGGTTGAATTTTGCTGCTCTCAGCATGATTTTCTTGGCTTCTTCTCTTTTCATATTTACCAAGAGCCATCTCACAGATTCAGGAATTATCCTGGAAAAATTGATGAAAGTCAATTAGAGACAATGAACTTGTATTACTTTGAAAATATCCTCATAGGACGAAATGGGGAATGTTCGTCCTGACGAAAATCAGGTAGTTTCCATAAAAGAGAGCTAAAACAACGCATTCCCAACTTATCATTTCAACTTTTTTCTTCAAAAAGTTATTTGAATACTCAAAAAAGAGGAATGAAATAATGCATTCAACATTTAAAGGGATTCGTTTCTATTTTACCATTTGGCAACATCGGTTATAGCTAATAAAGGACAATGAATCTGTTACCTGTATGAGACAAACGAAGATGACATATTTCAGAGGCGTGCTGTTCTGTTCACTTATGTTCCGAGTTTCGAGCCATTCTGTGACATATCACATTTTGTGCACCTAACCTGTCTTCCTCTATATAAATAAATAACAAAACAACTGTTTCCCATGTGGCTTGTGGAGGTGGTATTGAACTATAATTTATATTTTGCTTCAATTGTTGATTTGTAAAAAATATTTTCCTTTTGTAGAGTAGAATATCTAGGTACGTATAAATTATTTCTAGGCGCTGTTGCCAATATATGACTCAGAAACAAATCCCTTCATAAATTAAAAGCATACATTTGAAATATCAATTTGAATATTTTTACATTCCCTATTGCAGTAATGTTAGCTACAAATAAAAGTGCCGAAATTTCCATATTCGGTGACTTCAATGTCCACAATATAGAATGGCCCAAATTCTCAAATATCAACGACGAACAAGATCGCGAAGCTGAGGCTTTTGCAATAAGCAGCGGATTTACGTGTTGGAGAATATGCTAGTCTTCTGGATCTATACCTAACAACCAATCCAGAAATTTATACTGTCACCATTAGGTCTCCATTGGCATCTCCTGACCATAAACTCATTTCAGTGTTAAGTTAATTACCAATAATTGTTGGGAAACAATCTAAGCCGCGCAAAGTTTGGCATTACAGATCAGCTAAATAGGAGGATCTTCAAGACCATTTCCGAAATTTCCCCTAGCTAGATATTTGTTTCAGCTCTAAAGATTCATCAACTCGTGATTCTGAAGTCACAGAAGTTATTCTACTATCAATGGGTGCATATATTCCTTTTTCAATGAAATGGCCTTCTAACGGCAAACCTTGGTTCAACAAAAATTATGAGCAAGATGTCGCCTCCAAAAATCTCCCTTACAGGCAGTGGCGCAAAAATCCCAGTGCCGAAAATCGAACGTTTATTAATTCTCGCAACAACTGCAAACTTAGAATGAATGACAGGGAAAATTCGGGATAAAGTGCTTTCCATTCCCAAAGGTTCTAGATCCTTCTGGTCGGTAGCTTGTAGCGTTTAATTTGTCTTACTTTTATTTTCTATAATTTTTGAAATAAATCTAAGAGAAATCAGCTCATACATGACACCTTTCGATCACTTTTGTGTATAGTTAGTTGCCAGCTCCCAGTTAATGCGGAATTTTAAATTTCTCACCTTCCATTTTTCCGATAAAAGAGGTGTATTCGATTCGATTCGTGAAACCAAGCTTATTTCTTTTCAAGGATCAGTTCGATATTTTTTTCCTGCGAAGGCAGATGTGCCAAGGTGGTTGTGAAAGGACACACTTTTTGTATTTGAATTCTTTTTTCTGTTGAAGTTGATAATTGCCCTTTCTGAATTGAGTAGAACAATATTCTGGCTATTTTCTGAAACAGGCCCTGGACATTCTAGTGTTTTGATTAATCAAACCCCGAGGCTCCCGGTTTTTGATAGATACACCATTGCCTACCCTTTTTAGAGGTAAGTCTTTGAGAAGCCACAGAAATTGGAAAATAATCTGGATACCTTTTTGTGTTAGGTTTGCTTCAACAAAAACTTAATTTTAGGATTGTAGGATGACATCAGGCGAATAAGTAGTTTATGTTGAAAAAAGTGAATCTAATATGCTATTACGTCCTACTCGGCTAGAGGCTAGAAGTATAGATCTTTCTGATCTTTTCTTTTTCTTCACTTGTGAAGGAAACGTCCTTGGTGGTGTCCAGCTAGATAGTGTACTACCTCCATTTTACTGTTATGTGAAGAGGACCAATAAGGCCAGCCAACTTATAATGTTAGTCTAAACCTATTTCAAATTTTTATATAAAAAACTATAAGGGAAGTGCTACATATAAATTGCTATAAAAATCATGATTATGATGCTTTAGTGTTGTAAGCTGATGCATAGTACTATGGGTAAGCATTTTTCAATTATTTCAATGATATAATCCCGCAAAATTGAGTTCTCAGTCTTCCCCAAAAATATCTTCGATTTCCATATCATAGAACCATTTTGTTTCATATAACTTAAATATACTTGTATCAATTTCAGTTGTTCACTATTTGTACTATTACTTAACAACCAAACACCACAAAAATACGTTCCCATCAATTATCACCATTTACTTTCCCAGCTTTATAAATGGTTGCTACTTGTGATTCAACAAAGTTGGGTGGCGCCGACTTCAATGTTAATTTGAATTGAATGAAAATAATCATTTAACGAACTCATAGTGCCAAAAACTGCCGTTCGCAAATAAATTTACAGCGGATTATTGACTTATCAATAATTTGCTGTTACAAGCTGAAGCTGTTAATCAGAACTTTAAGAAATCCACAATTCCACTACTAATACAGGCGGATGGTTCAATTGCATCAACAAACATAGCTTTTGTTGTAATTGAACCATCTACTACTAGCTGAACAATTTGCTGAACTGAAGTGGAAGAACAACTCAGTAGCACTTGTGCTAACTAAGTTGAACTTCGCCTTTTGTTATGTCAGCAACTAGCTCTCTAAATTATTTAAATATTTATATGTAACTACAGCTGGGTAACAATAAAGACGATTATTATTATTATTATTATTATAACTAGCTGATCTCTTATTATATGCGAGCGCTTCCGATAGCAGGATGTGCAATCATCTTTATGGCTTTACTTTAACTGAACCTTTTATCTCCTTGTTTGTTATTTCGTATGGTTAGAATGCCTTAGCTCAGGTATGTGTCGTCTCCTGTCATCCGGATGTTTCTTTAAATTTGTCTATATTTGGGTTACATCACAGGTAATATCCTTTGTGTTGAAGTTTCTCTAGTTTTATTGTTTCTAGGAATGTGTATTATATTATGTAGTATGTTGAATGTAAAGCCTTGTTATGTTTTGATTTGTATTTGATAAGTGAATTAATAATTTTGAATTTATGGATGTTTAGGTTTTCCCTGATGTCCAAAGATTGTGTAAAATACAAAATACTCATGAGGCAAGCCGGCATGATTTGGAGATTAGAGAGAACAGATCAAACAATTCAATAGGGAGTCTGGATAGAGTCTACAGAGTTCCAAGAGAAAAATTATTAATTATTTACAACTGAGATTCAGTAAAAGTTATCTCCTTATGATGTTAACTTCAACAAGATGATGAACGCCGACAAATAATGTCAGCAGATTCAAAAAGTAATCATCACCTGAGGATGAATTGCTTCTTATGAAGTTATTTTGTTCTATTGATCTTCATGGATTGATACAGTACCTGCTTGTACTACTTCTGATTATCGAATTCACACACTCACCAGTGATATGCCAGAAACACAATGGCAGGGACTGATACGATCAGTTGTGTTTGAACCCAGTCCCGGGTATACCATGCGATTGGTGCTACTACTGCCTCTCCTATTGAGTAGAAACAATTCAGAACAATACACGGCAACCCTCTCTTCGATTTTCCAACCATTTCCATAACTGGAAAAAAGAGAAATATTGAACTGTTTCAAATTTAATTGCACTTCACATATGAAATCAGTTGTGGGACCCAAGTACAGATTTTGTGAACATCGTTGATTGATTTTTCATTCAGTATAAGGTATATTCAGAATAACTACGACTCTTCAAGGCGAGGCCATTAGGTTCAGGGTCAACATAGGCTGTCCTCAACGTGGGGTACTATCTCCCCTTTTGTGGTCGCTCCTGATGAATAGTCTGCTTGATGCCCTCGACAGAAGAAAAGTAGAGTTGCAAGCTTATGCAGATATATTATTATTATTATTATTATTATTATTTGTGGCTCACAATTATTGAAACCACCCCAGGTTTTTGAAAAAAATGATTTCTTCATTTTGTGAATTATCTTTCAGGTCATTTGACAAGAGTACCAAATCTGATACGCTTCACGGTGGAGCAGGCACAGATTATGTGCTCTGCTTCCAGTTATAGAAGATGTTCCTCAATCAACGACTACCTTCGTCGGGTAAATAAGCAACTCAAATGTGTGACTTGAAGAATAGGTTTCTAGCGACGCATTTTATTTCATTACTGCGGGGTACTTACTACAAGCAAAGCCAGAACACGTTCTTTCGATTTTCACAGGTGAATGTTGACCTTCGGTAGCCATAATGGCTTACTGGAAGGATTCCGGTTAATTGGTCAGTATATCAGGTTATTTTCCAGTCAACTATAACTGACGATACACTAGGTACAGCAATGCACGAATGTTTTGCCTCTGGTTTGGATTGATCATCGTTTGAAAATAGGCATTCATGGACCTGCTCAGGAAGGGATTGTTTTTTCTCATGATGAAGATTCTACTTCTGGTCCTGAAGACTTCGGTAAGAGACATATTCATAAGATATCCTGAACCTAGACTTCATCAGATATCGCCATAAAGACCTAGCCTTGTATTCATGCAGAAGATAACCTGTACGTGGTCTACACCTTCCTCTATATCCGTGCTGATTATATGGACCACAGATGAGAGAAGAAGATTTTTCCGACTTGAAATAAGTACAACCTGAAGTAAAATACAAGAAAGAAGCTTCAGCTATCCTCAAGAAGGCTTGAAGGGAATCGGTGAAATATTTTGCCGTTGATCAACTTTTGCACCAGAGACATGACGGGTATCATGTTAACCTCCCAGGCAGGTAGGTCCTCAGAAATCCCGTCATGGGATCAGCATACCTTCTTAAGCATTGTTTGAAATTATCACCTACCAGGAAAAAAGAAAAGTTAATGGAACTTGGATGACTTGGAATGACTTGGATGTGAACATATAATGATACACTTCCATCCCTTCCTTCAAAAATAACAGAAGTAAGGTAGTAGGTATANTGTATCCACTTGAATTGGATGAAAATAATCTTTCAACAAACTCATAGTGCTTGCTCTCCGGCCAAAAACTGCCGTTCGCAAATAAATGTACAGCGAATTATTGGCTTATCAATAATTTTCTGTTACAAGCTGAAGCTGTTAATCAGAACTTTAAGAAATCCATAATTCCACTACTAATACAAGCGGATGGTTCAATTGCATCAACCACCATAGCTGTTGTTGTAATTGAACCGTTAACTACTTACTAGCTGAACAATTTGCTGAACTAGCTGTCGATCTCTCATTATATGCGAGCGCTTTCGATAGCAGACTGTGCATTCATCTTTATGGCTCTACTTGAACTGAACTTTTCATCTCCTTGTTTGTTCTTTCATACGGTTAGAACGCCTCAGCTCAGGTATTTGTCTTCTCCTGTCATCCGGATATCTCTTCGAATTTGCCTGTATTTGGGTTACATCAGGTGATATCCTTTGTGTTGGAGTTTCTCTAGTTTCATTGTTTCTAGGAATGTATATTGTATTGTGTAGTATGTTGAATGTAAAGCCTTGTTGTGTTTTGATTTGTATTTTTTCCTCTATAAGTGAATTATTACTTTTGAATTTATGGAAGTTTAGGTTTTCCCTGATGTCCAAACGAGGATTGCGAAAAATACAAATACCGCTGAGGCAAGCCGGTATGATTTGGAGATTAGAGGGAACAGATCAAACAATTCAATAGGGAGTCTGGATAGAGTCTACAGAGTTTCAAGAGAAATATTATTATTGATATACAACTGAGATTCAGTGAAAGTTATCTCCTTATGATGTTAACTTTAACAAGATGATGAACGCCGACAAAAATGTCGGCAGATTCAAGAAGTAATCATCACCTGAGAATGAATTTCTTATCATGCAGTTATTTTGTTCTATTGATCTTGATTAAAAATTTAATGAATGGAAACGATCATCATAATTTTCTTAACGAAATTCACTTGTCATTTCATCACAACAGTGACTTTGGTGAGACATTGAACTTACAAGATGTTATTCTAATTGACAGCGCATCTGTTATGCCACACTTGTTTATTTATTAACTTCTATTTCAATTCCCCCATGAAATTTAATGATTTAATACAGTACCTGCTTGTACTACTTCCGGTTATCGAAATCACTCACTCACCAGTGATATGCCAAAAACACAATGGCAGGTATTGATACGATCAGTTGCGTTTGAACCCAGTCTCGGGTATACCATGCGATTGGTGCTACTACTGCCTCTCCTAGTGAGTAGAAACAATTCAGAACAATACACGGCAACCCTCTCTTCGATTTTCCAACCATTTCCATAACTGGAAAAAAGAGAAATATTGAACTGTTTCAAATTTAATTGCACTTCACATATGAAATCAGTTGTGGGACCCAAGTACAGATTTTGTGAACATCGTTGATTGATTTTTCATTCAGTATAAGGTATATTCAGAATAACTACGACTCTTCAAGGCGAGGCCATTAGGTTCAGGGTCAACATAGGCTGTCCTCAAGGTGGGGTACTATCTCCCCTTTTGTGGTCGCTCCTGATGAATAGTCTGCTTGATGCCCTCGACAGAAGAAGAGTAGAGTTGCAAGCTTAAGCAGATGACCTTATCATCCTGGCAAAGTCCACATTGGAAAGGGTAGCTTGTAATATCCTCCAAAACACGATGAACGTTGTTAACAGTTGGTGCCTGAGGGAGCAGATGTCTGACGACTCCAGCAAAAATGTGATAATCTCCTTCATCAGGAGCAAAATTGAACGATTTAACGCTACTTTCCCTCAATGGTGAGGTCATTCCATTTGGAATGGAGGTGAAATATCTTGGCAATGTCCTTGATAAAAAACTTACCTGGAACGCTCACTTGGAAAAAGTTTTACACAAAGCCAGAGTGCCCCTATGGACTTGTCGAAGGATTCGTGGTGAAACTTTGGGTTCAGGTCTCAAACGAATCCCTTGGATTCATGTGAAAATTGTCAGACCAATGATCACTTATGGTGCAATGCATGGTGGCCAGAGGCCATCAGTACCACACCATCAGCGGACATGGAGATCCTTCTTGATCTACCTCCTCTGCATACTTTTATGGGGAGAGAGGCTAGATGGACTGCATATAGACTTGTGCACATTGCAAATTGCACAAATCAATTCAATGCAGCGTGGAACAGACTGCTGGTTGACATTGGAAGTCACAGCATTCTGGAAATGACCTCTGACTCTATGCCTCCAACTGTCAACTACAAACTGCCTCATAAAGTACTATTCCCGAGTAGAGGGAACTGGATCCTCCGAGAAAAGGAAATATCAAAAGCAGATAGTTGTTGGTTCACAGATAGATCAAAAATATCTTCCGGTTCTGGTGTAGGTGTTTTCAGTCGCAGACCCAGGACAGAGATATTAACCTGCCTAGGAACGCAAGCGACTGTATTTCAAGCGGAAATTTACGCAACTGAATTGTGTGCGGAGAGATTGGAAGAATCCAACCTCATTCACAAGTCAATAAAAATATTCTTGGACAGTCAAGTGGCGTTGGAATCTCTTGGCTCCTACCGATCAACGTCTAAATTGGTACCAAATAGCCAAAAATGACTCTCTTCGATAGGAAGACTTAACAGATTGTCTCTGGTCTGACTAATTTTCTCCATTTTGACAAATTCACCAATTACGTTCGCTATTGATGGCTACCAAATGAATATATACAACGTAGCGCCTTCAAACTTGAAACATATGCTTTCTGTATCTTTAGAGTAGGGAGGGTGAGTGTAAGCCTTAGGCCACATGCCACATTGTACATCCTCCCGAGGAGTTGTCCTCCTAGGTCGTCGTCCATCCTGTCCTTTCCAGGAAGGTGGACAGGTCGCTGGGAGACATCTCCTTTATATCGGCAGGTGTAGGCCAAGACTCGCCGAACACACACTCTCTTATTGACGATAACTCCGGGCACTCGCACAGGACATGCCTGACAGTCTCATCTTCCTGTTCACACATCCTGCATAGAGGTGTGTCCACTAGCCCCATATTATGTAG